GACCGTTGGTACCAGAAAAGTTCCTCCTGTTCAAGAACTTCATCCAACTCCTTCTCTAGCTTGGTTTGAAGCTTGAGGAGCCCCAAAGAAAAAGTCTGAGCCATCCTCTCCTGAATCCCGTGGATACGGGCCATCAGCCTCCTCTTCTTGTGAAATATGCTTCCGAAGGAAGTTTTGTTCCAGTGGTTAAGGCTGGTCGCCATTTTATCAAGGGCCGCCGGAAGGGAAGCCTGCTGGTCCCAGCCTCCCTCAACAACCTGGTCAAAAACAGCACTAGTTAACCAAGCAGCCTCAAAACGGAAAGGGCGAGAAAAAGAGGAGTTGACTCCCTGGTTTCCAATGGAGGTGAGAATTGGATGGTGATCCGAGTGGAGGCGGGGGAGATGCTTGACTGAGGTGTTCGGGAAGCAAGCGTTCCACAGAGTATTGCAGAGGCTTCGATCGATTCGGCTGGCTTTGTACGTGTTGGGGTTGTCCCCTCTCGTCCAAGTGAAGCGAGGACCTGAGAAGCCCAAATCAATTAGCTCCGCCCGATTAATCCTGTCACTGAACACTCTGCATTTGTAGATGGTGGAAGGGGATGGATGGCCCGTTTTCTCTTCCGGCTTCAGGATGGCATTGAAATCTCCGGTTAGAAGCCAAGGCAGATCGTTCGACTGACTGGTGTGATGGAGAGCTCGCCACAGGCTATGCTGTTGAGACTGCTGAGGACTAGCATAGACTGCAGTAAGCAACCATTTAGGAGAAGAGCCAGAAGTGACTATAACCGATAGGTGTTGAGAGCAGGCAGAGAGAACTTGAAGCTGGAAAGAAGCAGCATTCCAGCATAGCCAAATGCCTCCCTTCCTCCCATCCGCCTCAACTCTCATGGTGTTCGGGAACCCCATTCGCTCACAAATTTTGTTTGCCGAGCCTCCACTCACCTGCGGTTCCAAGATAATCAGGAAATCAGGGCTATAATTTTTCACAATCAATTTTAGAGCTCTGGTCGAAGCAGGGTTACCAGCCCCTCCAATGTTCCAAGCAATAATTTTAAAATAATGTAATTGACTAACAGACATGGCAGAAAACGAGAAGAAAGAACAGAAAGCTAAAAGGGGGCGAAGGAAAACAAGCCGCCAGGGAGCCAAAATCAATTGGTGCTAGGCTGGGAGGCCTTCTCTTTTGCCGTCGTGTCATTGTCGCCGGCGGTGGTCTCGCCCCGAACGACTTCCCCTGCCCGGTTGGCCGCACCCGTCCACGCCTCAATCTCCTGGAGCGTTAGAGTCGCAAGCTTCGACCGAGCTTTGGATTTCCTCTCCTTTACAGGCGTCCATATTTGAAGCGCCTTTGTTGAGATCGGCCTTGCGGCTTTGCCCGGGGATTTTTGCTTCTTCCGCAATTTTTTCTGGCTCTTTGTGCGAGCAGATGCAGATGGTAAGGGATCCTCGTTTTGCTGGTCCGGGTTGGTTTCCGGTTGGGTCGGAATGACCAGTTGGATGGTAGTCCCACTGGAACTTGTTATGGTTGTCAAAGAAGGGGGCTTAGGGGCCTGATCCATTCCAGCAAAGAGCTTCTTTCTTGGGCTAGAGGATTGCGTGGGCTTGGCGCCTGAACTCGACGGCCCATCTAATTTAATTGGGACGTTTTTGGGTCGTGGAGAGTCGGCCTGCTGCCTCTGGGGGACTGGCCCGAGAATCCCTTTCAGTTTATCCTTCCCCGTTGAGACTTCTATGGCCTCTTTCCCTTTTGTCTCTGTCGAAAACCCCCGATCAATCCCTAATTTTTCTCCCCTGTTTCCCCCATCCGTCCGTTGGAATCCCGCGCGTTTGCCTCCGTGAGATTGTTCGGTGGTGGAGAGGCTCTCCTTCCCTGTAAACTTTCCCTTTCCATTCTTTCCTTGATTAGCGTCTTCATTGTTGGAGGAATCCGGGTTTCCTTTTCTTGTGTTGCTGCCTCCACGCCGCGATTTCCGGGTGACGATCATCCACGGCCCGAAACCTGGTTTCTCTTCCGGTGTGGTGACTGTCTCCGGCGCCGGCGAGCCCCCTGCCACCACAATGCTCAGTTGCGGAGAGGGGGGTTTCAGGTTAGGGCAAGTCTCCTTAGTATGGCCGATTTTCCCACACTCGAAACAGCACATCGGAAGATTCTCATACTCCAAGTATTGCCAAGCTCCATCAAGTCGAACCCTTGTAACCAGTGGCTTGGACAGGTCAATTTCCACCGCCATTCTTGCAAATCTTGCTCGCTGCTGATGAAGGGTGTGATAATCCAGTTTAATGGTGCGTCCGATCATGTTCCCCAGGGAGAACAATACTTCCTTGTGGTAGAAGTGGACGGGGAGAGCCGGGAGCTGAACCCAGACTATCATCGAGCTCGGGAGCTTGTCGGAGAGGCGAAATTCCGGTGTCCATTGTTGCACTAGCAAATAGTGGTCAAAAATCGTCCAAGGCCCCTCCGTGAGAGCACGGAAGTAGTCCACATCGTTGCTGAGTTTCACCATAAAACATTCCGATCCGAGGAGCATAATTTCCATTGAACCTGTTGGTCGCCATTGAGCACGAAGTTTGTTGCTAAAGACGGTGAAGGAGATCTGAAGCCCTAGGGTACGAACCACTAGAGACCGCTGCCACGGCTTACTTAATCTGGATCTGAAGCCGTCGGACACCTTCAACTCGGGTTCGCCGTTGAAAAGGCCCTGGATTAGGTCCTGCTCGCCCACCGGAGTCCAGGAGACCAACCCCCCAGGGGGATTGGCAGGCGTCCCTGTGACTGCATTCGCGTAGGATATCGGCCCTGGCTTCAATATCCCTTCTTCAGTATGGCTCGGTTGAACGTCGACCACCATAGAATCGTTCCCTGAGGTAGGAACTCCCATAGACATGGAAGTGGCCTCAGCCGGATGACACTGTTGATGGTCCGTTGTCGCTTCTTGGTCCGGCGGTCTATCCGACGGATTAAGATTTCCTGTCGCCGGTGAGATGTCGGAGAACACTTCAGAGAGCATATTTCCTGTGGCCGTACCCCAATAATTATGACTTGTAGGGAATTGATTTGATATGAATGCTCATTTGCTTGATGTTGTTTTAACTACACATACAAAATTACACTTATTTGTAAAATTATAAATGTTCAGGTATCAAAATGCCCGACACAAACAAAGTACTGAAATGTTATTTTTGTCAATATTTTTAGGACTTACATGGGAAAAAAGATACTAAATCCAAAGATCTATTATGTTGAATTACCAAAATGTAATTTGCATACGGTTACAAACCCAAATCAATGGATTGGAAAACCTATCCAAACAAATAGATATGAGCATAAATTTATCAAACTCACGTCGGATAAAAAAATACCCACATATTTAGAGAAAATTGTCATCTCTAATTACGATGGTATAATTTCTTTCATCTAACTCCTTTGAACATTTTGGCCGTGTGTAGGAGGAATATATGCTCGGATTGTACCCATGAAGGGAGAATAACTGATCTATCTTCAGCACTGAAGAAGAATATTAACTCTCTATATATTGAAAGGCCATGAAACAAAAGCCTTTCTTCATTATTCTCTTTTCTGCAGCGCAACTCGGAATGAAATGGGAATAGTTAAAGAGGACCATCGATCACCATGCAGGTTAATGGAATTTTGTTAAAGCAGCCAACCAGCAGGAAGGAAGGAATCAGCGTAAGAAGTTTCCTCCCCGTGAAAATTGAAAAAGATGCACAAAAAGAAAAAGGATTGGAGAAGAGGTTCCTCTGCTCCACGTGGCTCAGCTGACGCTCTCCTTCTCTGACTCTGACCCAGGAAATTCAAAGTCCCTGTCCCACCTTTTTATTTAAACAAATCCCTTTTTATCCCCTTCCTAAAACGCCATCAATTCATAAATAATATTTGTCAATTATCATATGCGGTCATGGTTCATCTCTCTTAATTTGATTAATCAAATTCTTTTTATCCCCTTCCACTCCTCAAAATCCTTTTTATTCAAATCAATATGATCATTAGTTATCATTGTTTCAAATGTAAATTTTGAGTGATATTCCGTGAGAACTCACTTAATTTAAATATTTGAATGGTACATCAACTTTAGATTGAGTCGATGGTAATTATAAAATTGGAGTAAAATGTATATGAAACGTGAGAGACAGACAATATTTTTTAAGTATCGTGTCTTTTGTTATATGATCTAGTATAATCGATTTTATAGTATCTCTTCTTTTTCTATTTTTATCTTTTGTTGTTTTGAATTATCATGGTTTTAGACTGTATGTCATTGTTAATTAATTATTGATTTTTAATGAATAATTTTACTTTTAGTTCAACAACAAAACAGAACATCATGAATTTTTAACAAGTTTAATAAGTAATTTAATAATAATATATTTTTTATCAAAATCTATTCATAGTATCTAAACATGAATCTAGAAATCACAATATAAATCAAACTCGTAAGAATATCTAGTTTGCATATCTAAAAAACTAAAAAAAGTGATGGTCTTCCCATTTAAACCTCACATTTCCAAATTCAATATCATGGAACACAATCTAACCCATCCATGTAATAATGTTCGTTATCTCTCACTTAAACACAACCATTATTCCTTTAATTCCAAAATAGAAAACAAGAGTAATTCCCAAGAAACCCCCCACCTTCTCTCTCTCTCTCTCTCTCTACACTCTTCAATCTTCATTCTTCACCCCCCTTAATTTCTTCACACGACTCTTCTCTTCTCTTTCTCGAAAGTCTACTCTCCCTTCCTCCCCATTTCCCACACTTCCGCCTTCCCCATTTATAAAGCTTCCCTTTTCCCACTCCTCACTTCTAAATCTAATACCCTCCATCCATTTCTCACCCTCTCCACACACACACCAACAAAAAAACCCCAATCTCCAAAAAAAAATTAATAATGGCCGCCGCCGCATCCTCCATCCTTTTCCTCCTCCTCCTCCTCCGCCCCACGACAGCCCAGCCGCCGGCCGGCGAGCTCCCCGACTACGCCAGGGTCACCCCTTCCATGGCCGTCATCATCGTCGTCCTAATCGCCGCCCTCTTCCTCATGGGCTTCTTCTCCATCTACATCCGCAACTGCTCCGAGTCCCAATCCGCCGCCGGCGGCGGCAGCATCCGCCAGCTCGGCCGCCGCGCCGCCGCCGCCGCCTCCCGCGGCCTCGATCCATCCGTCATCGAGACTTTCCCCACCATGGTCTACTCCGCCGTCAAGGGATTGAAGATCGGAAAGGGAGCGCTGGAGTGTGCCGTCTGCCTGAACGAATTCGAGGACGACGAAACGCTGCGTTTGATCCCCAAGTGCGACCACGTCTTCCACCCGGAGTGCATCGACGCCTGGCTCGAATCGCACACCACCTGCCCGGTCTGCCGCGCCGACTTGACCCCGAATCAGTCCGGTGACGGCTCGACCGTCCAATCCCCGGTCGAGCCGGAATTGATGGCTCCAGCGCCGGTGATGACTCGGGCAGCGTCGGATCTCGAGGCGGGAAGAGTCGAAGGCGTCGTCCCGGAGCCGGCTGGGGATTGCGGAAGTGAAGGCCACCGACCTGCAGAGGCTGCGCCGGAAGTTGCTTGGGTCGATCGGGTTTTGAACCGGAACCGTACGCGCGGGTCGAGATCGGGTCGGCCACGAAAGTTTCCAAGATCGCACTCAACGGGGCACTCTTTGGTTCAACCGGGGGAGAATACCGATCGGTTCACATTGAGGTTGCCGGCTGACGTTCGGAAGCGGTTGGTGGACCAGGGGTTGAACCGGAGCTCTAGCATGATTGTGCTGCCCAGAGAAGGGAGCACGAGGCGGGGGTATCGAACCGGTGAAGGAAGCAGCAGAGGGAAGCATTCGAGTTACAAGCGGCTGGAACCGTTGGAGACGGAAGGCAGGTCGGACCGCTGGGTGTTCAACCGTACCTCGTCGTTTTTTGCCAGAGCGTCGTCGTTCTTGACCAGAACAACTTCGTCCGTCCGGTCGCCTAGAGTAGCGGCTAACGACGGGTCCATTCGATCGCCCCGTGGGGTGGTGGCGAGGGATCAAGGAGAAGGGTCTTCGAGCAAAAGAAGTGGGTTGGAAGCGACCCAATTGACCCGACCGCCGGTCTGAGTTTTTTTTTAATTGCTTTTGAGTTATTTAATTTTAAAGTACTTATTCAATCTTAGCTTCCTTATTTGACTTTGTCAATAGAGGTAACATGTCCATATACTTTATGATTGATAGCTTTGTTCTTTCTTTATCTCTATTTAATTTTATTTATATTTTGTATTAGTACAATTTGGATGTAACATATGGTATAATCTTCACATGGGAAAGATCAAACTAATAAGAGAGAAACGAGGGTACACTTTTTTGCTATAGAAGGCTTTCATATCGACCACACAATTCAAGCCAAAAACGATTTTTTTTTTCAAGGAAAATATATAATAGATAATTAATTAAAGCATTGATTTTATTTTCCTAATTTATGAGTTAATTAATGGTGTTGTCCAAATGCAATGCAAGGCAGTTGGGAGAGGGGAAATACTGAAATAGGAATTTTGTTTCAGACTTTGGCGGTGGTCGTGATAAATGAAAATATTTTGAATCACTGGAAAATGGAAATTCTGATTTAGAGTAAAGTTAGGTGGCCAACGAGGTGCGTAGGTTGATCAAGTCAAGAGCATCCACCTCATCGTCATTACATATGTCATCATAGATTCATAGGAATTGCTTGTAGTTTACATAATAATAATAATAATAATAATAATAATAATAATAATAATAATAATAAATAATAATAATAATAATAATAATAATAATGTTTTCTGGTAGTTCTTGCATCATTTCTCGTAGGAATGGCAAATGGGATGGACTAGGTGAGTATCTCAAATACTCATACATGTTACGAATTTAGTACGAGTCAAATTATACTTTTGTGTATATGAGTTAGGTAGATTGATCTATTTTCACATGTGCTATATGAGGAAAATAAACGCAAAATTATTTTTAATGACAAAATAAAGGAAAATAGTTCGTAAATGCAAAATAATGATAATGAAATGAGTAAATGAGTTTATCCAATTTTGGTAATACTTTGTCGAATATTTTCAATTGTTCTTAAATCTTAATTCAACAATGATACTGCTAGCGCTTAGTGAAAATAATTTTGCCTTATTAATAATTTCATTTTCATATTGGTGTAAGAAAATCATATGATACAAATTGAACTCGTATCCTTAATATTATAACAAAAATTCAGCTTGTACTTATAATTTTTGTGAATTTTCTTTATGGTACAAACTGAACAACATATAAATCTTATGGAACAAATTTAATTTGTACATATTTTTTTCCATACAAATTCATTTATAGTACATACTAAACTTATACTTTTAACGTTGTGGTAGAAAGAGAACTTGTACTTGAAAGCATCATGCTTATTGTAAAATTCCTCTAGAAAACTATTCTCATTTGAGCAAGATTTGTATAACTAGTTTAACTGCAAAACACTCAAATGGGCTTTTTAAGCTCAAGTTGTTCATTACGGGCTCACATGCATTCCTTCGTGCTTGTTTTAAGTCATGTTATCGGGTTATATGTATAATATGCTTATTTATTATGTTATTTTATCAAACATGCTTCATTATTATTTTTTACATCAAACATGTCTTTGTACTTTGGAAAAATTATCAAACATGTTCTTCTGTTAAAATTTTCATCCAAAAATCATTAACCACGACCAAACTTTGGTTTGGGCGACACAAATGTCTAAAATATCTCTAATAATTTCACTTTAGAATTTTTTTGGTTCTCTTATATAGCCAAATGATTCTTATAATTTCACTTTAACGAGACCAGCGAAATAAAATTGGGGACAAAACTGAAAATTTCCCTCCCATTTGTCGATGTTGGGTCGTCTAAATCTCGGTTCAACCATGATTGATGATTTTATCAATGAGAATTTTAACAGAAGGGCATGTTCCCAAAATATAAGGGCATATTTGATGTAAAAAAAATAATAAAGGGACATGTCTGATAAAATGACATAGTAGAGCCCCTATTATACATATGGTCTTTCCTTTTTGAATTTCAAAAAATTAACTCAATAAGAGATCATTCATATAATGATTGAACCACATTTTTTATGGTGAGGATACTTCTTGTTTATAATATTTTCAGTGTTTTATTTATTCTTTGCTAGACGAACACGTTGTTTACAATAATTTTTAACAAAAAAAAAACTCGTTGATGAATATGTCCACACATATTACGAGTGAGTTGGATCCATACTTAGAAACCATATATCTTTAATAGCAATGAGAAGTGATGAGCCACGGAAATACATCCAATTGGGAGAAGGATCGGAGATTAAGAAGAAAAACAAACTACAAGGCGTTCAGCCTCTTGCAATAAGTGAGTGAATTGAGAAGCAAAGGTAGGGAGGGAGGGTTGCTCCTTATCCAAAGACCAACACCAACCAAACGAAAGAGAAGAAATGGTTGACCTTAACTAACTAACCTAATTCCTAACAACCAGAAATCTCCTAACCCTACCACCTAGCTACTAACTATATAGCTCACTAACTTCACGAAATGGAAGAGAACTAACCCTGGCATATTGAAAAACAATCTTAACTTGTTATATCTAATATATGGAACGTGAGTCACGTGTGACACGTTTAGGAAGTACTAGTCAATCATGTAAATTAATCACTTGTAGCCAAAAAAATGACGTAAGAATATATATATGGTGACTACTTCGGTGCACTCACAAAAATGGGTGTGTTCAATGCACCCAACTCAAAAACTAGTCTTAAGGTGTCGGATGTTGAATTTTCATTTGTAGAATCAGTGTAATATGATGATATAACGTATGATAACAACTAATTAGCCGATTACCCTAAGCCTTAGACCTCCAATTTTGAGTTCTATCCCTAAACTCCAAATTGTAAACCCTAACCCTAATCCTAAATCTCTAAACTCTAAATCCTTCAAATTAAAGTAAATCTTCAATGGTTTTTGTGCAAATTCATGTGCGTTATTGTTCATCACATCATAAGTGATGATTGACATCATTTTTACATAAATCGCATGTTTAAAATGATGGCTGTGAAGCGAGTGCACTGAAGCGACGGTTTTTGTAAAATTTGGCACTTTGGGACTGTACAACTCCCTATTCGAGAAGCTGGAGTGATGTTGTTTCTAGCAAAGTTCGCTATGGTCCCTGTAGTTTGTATTTATGTTTCTTTCCGTTTTAGCAATGTACTTACTTAGGACACAAGTCTTGTCTTCTTCTCCCAACTGTCTGTATGCTGAATATCCAGCTATATAAACTGTAGATCAATGAAAAGCAACTAGCTCTTTTTTCTCCAACTCTAAATGGTTTTCATGGTATCAGATCCTCAACCCTAGCCGCCACCATCAACGACCATGGTCGCAAATCAACCAGCAACAACTGGCAATACAGTAGCAGCCACTAGGGGTGGCAACGGGAAACGGGTATTTGGGTATACCCGTTCCCGTCCCGTTTTATGAGGGTTACAGGTACCCATATTACCCGTAATATTAGCAAAGGATGGGACTTGGGATTGTACATTCCTATTTTGGGTACCAGCGGGTTACCCGCAAATACCCATTTGGGTAATATGGGTACCCGTTAAACCCATTATTCATTCTGACATTCTCACTCAGCCGACCCAAATCATAACATAACCCAACCCATATTTCGGCAGGCCTTCCCTTTCCAATTCCATAACAGAACAGTTGACTAGGGTTGACTAGAGGCTAGAGCTCGGCGCCCCTCTGCCTCCTCTCACGTTCTCACTTCTGTTCTGAGCTCTCCGCGGCTCCGCCTCTCCCTCTCATCGCGCAGTTGACAGGCGACAGCTGATAGAGTCAGTCACCGCGGCGCCGACACCGACCCACATCTTGTAACCACCGCCGGCGCACAGCTTGTAACCGCCACCGCCCCACCCACCCAATCTGAATCCTTCTCAATCCCCTGTTCTTCCATCATCATAGTCATAACCTCTCTCTCTGTTCGTTGCCGACTATATTTGTAAGCAGGAAGGAAGAGAAAAGGTTAACAAAGGCGACGGGTAATTCTCTTTAACGGCTAATAGCTATTGATCAATTGTCAACTGGTTCAGGGAAAAGGTTATCGACGATTGAGTTTCGTATTGCAGATTTCTCCCTTCTACTTTGGGTATTTATGGGTAGTATGGGTACCCGTTATCCATCCCGCACGGGTAATGGGTACCCGTTTCCCATACAGGTTTGGAATATGGGATGGACTTTGGCCTCCAAATGGGACTGGGTACCCGTTTTAAACGGGACGGGTATGAGCACCCCTAGCAGCCACATCCACCACCCAAAATGTTGATCCTATGTCAGATCCTTTCTACCTCCGTGGATATGAGCAACCTGGCCTCCAGCTCGTTGCAGAAAAGTTCACCCCCACTAACTACAACAACTGGAGTAAAGCTTTCCACAATGCTCTTGGTGCCAAGAACAAACTATATTTTGTGAATGGTTCCATTCCAGATCTAGGACCAGGACATGCCAATACCTGGGTTTGGACCAGGAACAACATCATGGTACTTTCATGGATCCAACAGGCTCTTGATCCTCATGGTAAAGGAAACCGTACCGGAAGTCATACCGGATCCGTCAGTGGTAGGGTATTTTGTGGTACGACCGTGGTTAAACCATTGTGTACCGATAAAATACCGTTCTCGTAATTAAAAAATATTTTTTTGTTAAAAAACCGTACCGGCAGATTCAGCATACCGTTTCGGAGTAATACCGGAATAAAATCGGAATATACCGGATAACAAACCCGAATAAACTAAATAGGCATAGGTAATATAACAACCAACAACTGCAACATTATTGAATAACTACATAATCGTTCAAATGCATGTTTAGAATCGAGTACAAAACAACCTTTAAGTTCTCTAATAATTGCAAACAAAATGAAAACCAATTATCAAAACCAATGGAGGAAAAACTACTCCTTAATCAATGGATAACAAGGACGACAGTAGCAAGCGAGCTTACCCACGACAAAAGGATAGTCAAAGTTCTCTGCAGCAGGATCTAGGTTCACTATATGAATGGACCGCCCTT